CCCCCCCCTTTTTCTTCCTCCCTTCAGGCCAAAAGGGAGACGCGCCCTGAAGGAGGCGGTTTCTGCGCAGAGATCTTCCAGAAGCCCCGCTTTCCCCTTGACGGTAAAACATAACTTTTCATAATATTTAATAGAGTGGATGGAGCTGGGGGTGGATTTGATTTAAATCAAGAGTCAAAGCACAGCTTAAATTAAAAAGATCAGATGTACTGAACATTTCAATGTTTAAAAATCAATTTTAAAAAAATCTAAATTGTGGTTTTTAGAAAAAAAAATTATTAATACAACATAAACCTACTACCACACTATAAAAACAATAAAATACAAAACAATAAGATACAATTACACATGAGGTTTAAATCATGTTTTAGCTCAATTTGATTTTGTGAGAAAACCCTTGTTTTTTATTTACCCTCCTTGAGTGACGAGAGAGATCCAGGTGGCCCCACGCTCTCGCCCACCTCATGGTCTTCACCGTGGTGCCCTCTGAGTCTGCAGGCAAGCAGTCGGTGGGCTTTTCCTGGCACATTGGGAATCTTGTCAAGGATGAGCTACTACTTTATACATTAATCAGAGGTATTTACAGTATATGGAGGGATCTCGGGGCAGAGTACAAAATTCAGTCCCCTTTTGCTTGCTTGCTTGCTTATTCTATTACTGTACTTGAATGTGTATAGTACTCCCTATTCGTGCCCAAAGCACTACACTTTATTTCATTTATACACACAGCACTATTCCGGGCAGTTCACAGTTAGATAAAATATAGCACAACATAGCAACACAAAGATGAAAATGGTGCAATCATAAAATCATGCTATAAAACAAATAAAATTAAATAGAGTTATAAGAAAAGAAGGATTTGTTTATTAAATTATTCACATCCCTTCAGACATCCAGAGATATCAAAGTGCAGGTGGCAACATGGGACTCTTTGCGATCTAAGACAGTTTTAAAGAATTCAGCTGGATAAAACTTCTGAAATCCACAGCCCTGTCACAACAGGAGAACTGCAGCTCAAGAGTTTGGGCAAAGGGGCCACGTTTGAACTTGTCAGCAAAGAGAAACAGAAGAAAGAAAGAACCAACCCTGGCCTGCTATTTCCAATCCTAACAACTTTATTTCACTGTGAGCTTTCATGAATCAAAGTCCACCTCCTGACAGGCTTTCGGGCAAGTATATGAATGGTCTCTAGGTAGGCCTATTTCCGTTACCAGGGGAGAATACAGAATACGGACAATGTTGCAATGGTTGGTTAAGACAGGAAAGCTCACCTTGAACTAAAATGATGTCTTCAAGGCAATACAGTGTTTTGTGTGTCACCCTTTTTTTCTATCCTTTTGCCAACATGCTGAGACAGAGTAACACAACTACTCATCTTCTAAAATTGCATTTAAAATGCGAAGCTGTGTCAGGCCATGGCCAGACTTTCCTGCAATGCTGTTCCTCCTCGTGGCCACTGAGTGGCGCCTGCCTCCTTGCTCAGGACCAGCCAACCCTCCAGTCTGACAGCTGGAGCAAAGCCATTTAATAGAGCAGACCTACCAGCCATGAGCAGATCAGGTTCACCCCAGAGAGCAGCCATAATAACCAAGGCGCAATGGGGAGGCAGCCCCGTTGCCTAGGAGTAAGGGCAGAGCAAGATGCCAGCCCATCTCCTGCTTGAGAAGCACTCTTGTTCAAAGGAAGCCAAGGCTGCCCCCTTGTGGAGGGGGTGGGCAGGAGATGAGGCACCCTCCAGGCAGGAAAAGGTGAACTTTAGCAGCATCGGTCAGGTGCCTTTTTGTTGCCTCGCACTTGGGCTGTGTGGAAGGCATTCGGATCAGGGGGAAGCCGAACGCTGAGAAGAGCCTAGCTAGGCAACAAAGAGATGCTCATCTGGTGCTTATTTTAAGTAAACCGTGAAAATTGACAGCACTTCTTTTATTTTTTTCCCTGCAAAAGACCATGGAGGCCAGGCCTTTTTTTTGGAAATGAACTTTCCGCCTGAAATTGTGCACATTGTCTTCTTGGTTCCCTTATGGTCTCAAAGCAGCTTCTTCATACAGAGGGGGCCTCTTCATCGGTGTGCTCTTTCCCAATTTTTGGCTCCTTGCCAACTTGAAGACACGTAAGAACGGCCCCTCGGTTGGCCAGAGAGGGTCTCTGGTGTCACTGTGGACCATGCTGCAGGACATCTTTGGGTCGAGAAGCTCTCTTCCCGTCCTATGTCGCAAACCTCCTGGGAAATTGTCAAGAGGAAATACTGGTGCACAGCTTCCCTCAACCAGGTGCTGCGAGTGGTTAGGTGGTTTCGTAGCCTTTGCTATTTCTGTCGAAAGGCTGCGCAACTACGCTTGTCATAACGAGATCAAAACTGATGTCAACCTGCAAGCTTCCCAGTCCACCTCCTCCACATACAGATCGCCTGGGAAGCAAAACATTTTTCCTAGCTCTTCTTAATTTTGCACCAAACATCCGTGTCTAGAGAAGATTGAAATGTTTGTAGTGACACAAAGACAGGTTTTAAAAGTGTCTTTGCACCATTTAATTATTTTGCGTCAACAGGTGGCGCTCTGTCCCCTCTCTGCCTCTTCTCTAACCAGCTGTTAATTTCACATCACTCCAACAGCTATCTTCCATTGGCAGAAGTGCTTAAAATACTTTGCTTACTGATAAAAGGTTGTTGCTGGATCCAGATTTAGCCACCTCTGAATAGTTGGCTTGGTGGAAGGGGTGTTTTTCTCCCCTTGTTCCCCACTCCTACCCACTCTCCCCCCCTGCACTTTTTTGGTAGGATGGGAAGACCCATTTAAGGTCAAAATGTAGAGTAAAGGGCCAAGTAGCCAGTGCCTCCAGGTTATTCCTGAGAAGAACGATTCTTGCTAAACTCATAAAGCAGGCCTTTGAGCAAAGAAATAAAAAATATCGGAAAGGTGGCCACAAGCAGAAGTTGGGCAAAAGTTGCCTAAGCTATCTCAGCTGAGAGTCAGCAGATGAAACCTATCATTTGTACCCAAAGTTATAAAATGAATCTCCCCATGAAAGAAGCTCCAGGCTGTCTCTTCATTAAGGCAGGAAGAGGGGAGAAGGAATTGCTACCAGGCAGTGGGGAGAGATGCCCTGAGTAGAGAAACTGGTGTTCTCATGTCTACTCAGTAGGTTAGGAAGGCCTCTGGCTTGTACTAATGTGGGAAGCTATTTAGGTGGCATCTATTATTCCGATCAACTGGAAGAATACGATAAAAATACTGTATAGCCCATTTGTTAAAATCCTTTTTTAGCTGGGAAGGAAGGTTTCTTTCTGCAAGCACAGAGAAAAACAGGAAGGGGTCCCAAATAAGTCATCAGTGGCCTTTTCTTTCCCTTTTCCTCAGAATAATGGCATTTCCAGATCCTTTCTGAGAGAGGCATTACTCAGCTCCAGAGGACTGATGTCATCCCATTATCTGCAGAGGCTTGGGGGGGACGGGGAAGGGAGGCGCAGAGCCTGAAAGAGAAAAGACTCAGGCAGGGCTTTGGCTGCCACACATTTTCCCTCTCAATGTTCTCTATCCTGCGGCTCAGAATTAACCCTGAGTTATACCTTAAAATGTGCATGTTTTTTTTTTCTTCCTCTGTTCTTTTGCACAGACCCTGGAGATTGCTTCTGTGCATGTAGAAACAACCTCGAGGGTATTGTCCCCCTTAGCGCGATCCCCTGAAATACCACGTAAGCACAGAAGGACCCACAATCACGGCGCAAGGGAAGAAGGCAACCGAGGGTTTGGTGTCTTGACTGCTGCTTCCCTCCTTTCTTAAAGGAGGTGATCAGCCCTTTGTCTGCCGCCCCTTCCAGCCCGGGCTGAAACCCGACCCAGATAGACAGTTGGCAGCCAACGGGTGTGAAAATAGCCCTTCTCTCTCTCGCTCTACTCCATGGAGGACAGTTGAAATCTCCACCTGGATTCCTTTGGGATTCTTCCATGATTTGTGACCCTTTGAAAGAAGACCACTGGGCCAGCGCTTCTCCTGCTGCTACAACCAAGCCATCTTTATCTCTGGCAGGCTCAAAGGGCCAGGATACGACTGAGCAAACACCCTGGATGCTGGAAAGGATGGGTTATCCTCACAAACGGAGAGGCTGGGATGGGTCACTGGCCCCGGTTTATAAAGCTAAGAAACAACGCCTCCATGTCAGGTTCCCAGGTCCCGGACTCACATTCACAGGTGGTGCGGGACAAGGATATTGTTTCCAAGCCTCCTGTTGACATGTTTGCTTTCACTTCAGCAGAGGATCCGACATCCCGCACCTTTGCCTTTTTGCCTTGGAAGAAAGAGCAACCTCCACCAAAGAACCTCTGCCTCGTTCGGGAGCAAGGATAGTCTCCAGAAGGAAATCTTGGCAGCAGGAACGTTTGCTTGGCTTTGTTATCCTCACCCACGGCACCCGACCGTCACAACCGCAGCACACAGAGGCTCTGATCGGCTAGGGCAGTGGTGTCGAACTGTGGCCCTCCAGATGTTCTTGGCCTTCAACTCCCAGAAATCCTGGCCAGCAGAGGTGGTGGTGAAGGCTTCTGGGAGTTGAAGTCCAAGAACATCTGGAGGGCCACAGTTCGACACCACTGGGCTAGGGTGTCTCACCGCCATGGCTGCCACCTGTGAACCAGGAGAATGGGATGGCTCAAGTCCAGCAGGCCACCAGGAAGGAAGGAAGGAAGGAAGGAAGGAAGGAAGGGTAGTAGGATGTTGGGAGGGAGAGAAGCTGTTTTTGCTTCCTCTCAAGATGGGCTGGAGAGTCGGGCCTGCTTCTTGTAAAGGAGCCACCTGCCCTCATGCCCAGAGTAGGCATGTTCTAGATGGGTGGTGTATAAGTCTAGTAAATAAATGCCCACTACCCGGACAGCACCAAGACTACCTGTTTCTTTAAGGAAAACAAGGCTGTGAGATGTTCATGAGGTCAAGTAGCCCTGATATGGGGCTCTTTCTTCAGAAAGAGGGGGGATCAAAGGACGCGAAGACCCCAGGGCTGCCGGCAGGGTTGGCTCATGCCCAGGCAATCCAGCTTTGAGCCACCCCTTTCCCCACATGGGGGCCAAGCTTCACGCACACTCCGCTCAGGTTTCTCAATCCGACACTCACTGCTATCCGGGTAAAACCACTGCAAAGTGCTGCTGAACTAAATTGCCTATTCAGCTCCGGGGACCCTCATCTGGGGACCCTCCAGGACACTCATGTTTTGTTCCAGCTCCTGTATTGTGAGACACCTGGAGTTGTAGTTTAATCTAGTTGGTGTCTCGTGCTGGACCATTTGGGCCGGTCCCAGTGCCCATTCTGCACCCCAAAATCCTTGGGAGGCCACACAGGCTGTCCGAGAACTGTTGGGGATGAAGGGAACCAAGTGGAACTCTACAAGCATTCATTCCAAGTTTTGAAAAATAGGTGTTTGCTATGGGGTGGTCCTCTACCTATTTTAAAGGCAAATGGCGACCCCACCCTGGGGGAGGGGGGCATCTGGGAGCCTCCACTTAGAGATCCTATGGCTGGGGAAATTGGAGGGAACCGTGGAGGGAGCCCAGGAGGGCTTGGGTGGCCAGGAGCTGCAGCAACCGCCTGGGCGGCAGGCCAGTGGCTGGCCTCCCAGAGGCACTTGGCTTTTCCACCCTTGTGTGATCCAGAGGAACATGGTTGAGTGTTCCTTCGCTTGTGTTCTATGCCTCACTCTGCCGGCCGGTCGGTGGGCTCTTCCTCTTCCCCACGCACCCCCCATGCCCCCAACAGCCCACCGAGGAGGCTGACTCAGCTGCTTTGAAACACAGCCCAGACATGGCACCCAGGAAGCCATGCACACAGGCTCGTGTGTCTCATTATGGCCCAGCTAGCGAATGCTTGGCAGGCTTTGGGCACCTGCTGCTGCCGCCCCAGCCGCCGCCGCCACCTCCTGGGCTCCCTGCAACCCCGGGTTTGATTTCCTCCCTTGGGGCCGTGTGTGGTGCAGCTGGGCAGGCCGGTCCCTCCCAGAGTCCAGGCATTCTGGGTCCAGATTCCATTCCCGTCTAATCTCTGCTCTCTAGGGAGCCCAGCTGCTCTCTGACCCCAGGAAGCTGCTCACGCCTCCCCCCTCCACCTCCCCCCCCCGTCTCACCCTCTCAGACAGAAATAGACTGTGGGGGTAGTGATGCTAGGCGGCGTGGAAGGAGGCTGCGCCTCTTGTTTGCTGTCTCCACGGGTGCCTTCCGTGGGCAAAAGGGGCACCTGAGCTCATTGGAAGCAGGTTCTGGGGCCGAGGCCTCAGGTCCCGGTGGCACCCTGCCAGCCTGGGAGACCCACCCACTCCCGCTGCTCTCTGGGCATATCCTGCTCCATTACCTCCCCCCCCCGCCCCCCGTAGAGGACTTGTAATTACAGAGCTCTGTTATTACGGGGAAATAGTTGTGTTTGTTGCTCTGAAATTGCAGTTTACTGACGCTAGGGAAGGTCCTTTTCACGTTGTTTAGGAATATACAATGACCGTTATTTTTGTCTCCTGTCGTCCCCTATCTGTTCCTGAAGTCTCTGTGAACCTCCTAACGTCTCGTAGAACAAACACAATCTGGGGTTGCAAACACAGAAATTTTTTCCTCTCCAAAACAGCCCATCTCTCCCCAGTTCCTTTGTTTGTTACATTTCTATTCAGCTTCGCTTTCAGTGAACACATGTGTGTCCTACATGGCTCTTTGCTTCCTTACGTTCCCCTCGCAATGGTAATTCTTCAAGATGAGTCGGTCTGAGGGTGACTGGCCCGTTTTGTGGCTCAGTGGCAATTTGTACCTGGATCTTCCAGGTTCCACAAAAAAGTTAACATTCATCTTTTCACTCTAGCTGCACCATTGAGGGCAGCTTTTAAAAGGGAAAGGGAAAGACAAAAAGGCCGGTTCGAGGTGCATGCTGCCTCCTTAAATACCACAGGGCAGCTCTGCTACCAGCTGCCCAAAGACCAAGCAGGCGGAGAAGGCGTCTGCTTAAACAAAGCCGAATCTACGATAGACAGAGGTTTCTTTTCAGTCTTCCTGGCTGGGCTGAAAAGCGATGGGCTGAGGTCCAAGGCGCTTCCTCTCAGACCAATGACTAAGAGCTCCATCTAGTCCCACAGCTAAGCCCGACCTGGGGGGGGGGGCGTCTAGCTAAGCGTGCTGTTTTGCACCCTGGTCAACCAAATGTCACCTGCAGGGAAAGAAGGCAGAATCTCTCTCCCTGGCAGATGCTTCAACGGCTGTCTGAAGTTAGCTGGTCTGGGAACACAACAGAGCGACGGAATCAATCAGTCAGTCAATTCATGATGACAAAATATCTGATTGTGCCTGTGTTGACTGGGATCAATTCTGTAACACATATTTTCTGTCAGCTCTTCTGCCTCTTGCATTGAAAAGTCAAGTTCTTTCTGTCCCCAATATTTCATGTATGAATTCTGGTGAATTCTTCAAAGCACACTGAAGGCAATGTTTCTATCAATCTGTTCACTAGGCACAACTGTTCCCTGCATGGAGGAGACCACACGCGGACCTGCCTCTCTCTGAGAGGACCAGGGGCCTCTCAAGAAAGGAACATGGAGGTGTTGCGCCCCCCCCCCTGCCGACACACGCCTGAGCAGGCCAGGATCCCGTGCCAGACTGTCCTGAGGTAAGCGCAAACAGCCTGCCGCCTTCTAGTCCCCTGTTGTCGCTTTAGTCTTTCCATTCCGGAGAGGGGGGAATTGGGACTGTGTGCGAATTGTTATCTTTAAAAAAGAGGACCGAAATGAAATGCTCCCTGTTCCCAACATTCTCCTTCCTGCTGTCAGCATCCATGCGTGCACACAAAAAGGGGGCCTGGGCTTCCCCACAACGGCCAGGTGTGCTGGGTAGTTTCTCTAGGGCCTTCTGAGGGCAACATCGTCCGCCATCGTGCCCATCGGAAAGACACGTTCTGAGTTAACAACGCGTTGTTCCAGTGGAAAGCTCCGGGGGGGGGGGCGCTAAAGTGACCTGGACAACATCTGGCTCCCTCTGGACGGGTGGCAAAGCCCTGGCAACAAGGAGGGTGGGATGTCAATCCAGGAAATCGAGAGAGGCCCAGGTGTAGGGGTCAAGGCTGGGCCCCCAGTCATAAGCTGCCGGGTGAGTCTGTGAGAGCCACAGAAGACCAAGGAGTGCCAGCAAGGCGGGGGGGGGACTCTTCTGTGTGCAATGTATGCCCACTTTGGAGAGGTGAGCTGTTTTGTGCCCTGTGGCAAGAGAGGGTATCCTTGGAGCTATGGAAGCAGCTGGCCAAGCAGGAATGGGGGTGGGGGGTGGGGGCTGATCTGAAGTGTTGCTGAGGCAAGGCCTGGAGGAATCTCCGGGCCGAGAAAAAGCAACTGGTGCTGCCCCCGCCGCTGCACCCCCCCCCACCGGCTGCTCCCCCTCATTTCCATGAAACTCGAGCTCGCTGGTGAGCTCCAGTTGCTCCCTTGGCTTCGACCCCCTTCCTTTTTCCAGGCTGATGGATGGCTCCAAACGCACATTCCAGAGAGTTGCCCCCCTCCTCTCCTCGCAGCTGATGGGTTTTTAATCCATCTCCATGGAATCCAGTCAAAGGTGAAGGAGGGGCCCCTTGTGATCTTTGCTTTCTGGAGTTTCAACAGGATGATTTTTTGAAAAAAAGACCCCTCCTGCCTTTGGCTTTCGGGGGGCCTTAGGCTGGCCCAGCAACAGCTGCTCCTCACAGAGGGAAGGAAAGGTTCAGTGTTACAGAGGCATTGCCGGAATGCCCCTCTGCTTAGAGAGAGGCCTTATTATAGAGTGACGGCTGGCTACCCCTTCCTTTTCTGGCCAGGCCATGGAGGGGCTTCTCTCCCACCCCCCCACGGACGCCCCCTTCCCATTGCCCAGGAATTCCAAGCAGGAAGGGGTGACAGGGCTGGAAAGTTCACAAGATCAGGTTGGATGCTTACAGCTCTCGCTTTGCCTCCTCATCTCTGGAAAAGATGCGTCTGCTTAAGAGGGATGTTGAACAAATTGGGAAGGAACCAGAAAAGGATCGGGAGGTACTGGACCTTTCGAACTAGAGCCATCGTACTCCACCTTTCATTATCTTACTTTTCGCTAATCCTCCTGTCAAAGAACCTGCTTTCCCGCCAGGTGACGGGAACGAGAAGGCCTTGTGTTCTGAGGGGGACCCTCGGCGTGTTGGCAGGCATCCCGTTGTTCCCCACTTGTCACAGGCAGCTCTCTTTTAAGCACCAAAACCGGAGCAGGCTTGTTGGGAGCAAACGCAAACCAACAAGAGAAGTTCGCTGGCAGGAGGACCTCCCAGAGGGACTGAGGGAAAGGGCAGCTTCTCCGTCCTCATCGTGAGGACCCACCTGGGGCACACTGACCACTGGCTGAGATGGGAGACTGAG